CAAGTGCCAATTAAATGGAAACCTTTAGAACATACAAGAAATGACCCCAAGACCACTAATGTCCAGACCACAAGGCTCTCCATGATGGCCTCTGCCCATCTTCTCTGTCTACCCTACCCCCTTAGCATTCTGACCAACTTACTGTTCCCAGTCAAGCCGTGTGGGTTCACAGCCTCTGTGCATGCCATTGCCGCCACTTCAAATGTCCCCCACACTATTTTGCCAGTCACATGAGCATTTACTCATTAAGATTCAGCTCAAGCTTTGACTCCTTTATTTAAGCTTTTCTTGACTTCTTCAGGTGAAGTTGACTGTGTCCTCCTTTGTGTCCTCACTAGATTGTAGATAACTATGGCTTGTAATCTTTATTTCTTCTATTCATTTATGTGACTTCCCCTGCCCTAGCTAGATTGCAAACTACTTAGGGTAGAGGTACAGAGCTTGGAACATAGTAAGTGCTCAATGAGGGGAAAGTGGGATGGGGAGAGGGACGCGCAGACCCATGAATGTTGATGCTGTTCCGCTTAGAATTTTTGGAATAAATTTTTTTTAACTTTTATTTTAAGTTTGGAGTACAAGTGCAGGTTTGCTACATAGGTAAACTTGTGTCATGGGGGTTTCTTGTACAGATTATTTCATCACCCAGGTATTAAACCTAGTGCCCATTAGTTATTTTTCCTGATCCTCTCCCTCCTCCTACATTCCACCCTCCATTAGTCCCCAGTGTGTGTTGTTCCCCTCCATGTGTCCATGTGTTCTTATCATTTAGCTCCCACTTATAAGTGAGAACACATGGTATTTGGTTTTCTGTTCCTGTGTTAGTTTGCTAAGGATAATGGCCTCTGGCTCTATCCATGTTCCTGCAAAGGACATGATCTCATTCTTTTTTATGGCTTTGTAGTATTGCATTGTGTATATTACCACATTTTCTTTAACCAGTTTATCATTGATGGGCATTTAGGTTGATTCCATGTCTTTGCTGTTGTGGATAGTGCCATAGTGAACATATGTGTACATGTGTCTTTATAACAGAATAATGTATATTCCCAGTAATGGAATTGCTGGGTCAAATAGTATTTCTGTCTTTAGGTCTTGAGGAATCACCAACACCGTCTTTCACAATGGCTGAATTAATATACTCTATTACCAACAGTATATAAGCATTCCTTTTTCTCCACAGCCTCGTCAGCATCTGTTATTTTTTTTACTTTTTAATAATAGCCACTTTGACAGGTATGAAATGGTATCTCATCGTGGTTTTGATTTGCATTTCTCTAATGATCAGTGATGTTGAGCTATTTTTCATATGACTGTTGACCTCATGTATATCTTTTTTTGAAAAGTGTCTGTTCATGTCCTTTGCCCACTTTTTTATGTAGTTGCTTGTTTTTTGTGTTTTTTTGTTTTTGGGTATCAATTTAAGTGCCTTAGAGATGTTGGATATTAGAGCTTTGTCAGATGCATAGTTTGCAAAAGTTTTCTCCCATTCTGTAGGTTGTGTGTTTACTCTGTTGATAATTTCTTTTGCTGTACAGACGCTCTTTAGTTTAATAGATCCCATTTGTCAATTTTTGCTTATATTGTAATTGCTTAAGAACAAAGCTGGAGGCATCAGGCTAAGAGACTTCAAAATATACTACAGGGCTACAGTAACCAAAACAGCATGGTACTGGTAAAAAAACGGACACATGGACCAATGGATCAGAATAGAGAACCCAGAAATAAGACTGCACACCTACAACTATCTGATCTTCAAATTATTTTAAGGGTCTTATGAATGTGTTTAGCATAAGGAAAAGGTCAGAAAGGAATTCTTTCCATATCTCAATTTAGTATTTGATGTATAACTTTGAGAGGAAGAAAGTATTCTGAAATCAAAACAGAGCACAAACTCAGTGATCTCATACATTTATGACACTCTAGAATGCTGTGATAGTTTAATCATCTAGTTTATCCTCTTTTGAATACCAATGGAGAAATGGAGGCTTAGAGAAGTACAGTGATTAATCTGAAGTCACATAGCCACCTGATGCCAGGGTCATAGATGGATTTGGTCTGTTAGTCCCCCAGTCCTATGTTTGCTAGTTGTGCTATACTTCTCTGAACACTCTGTAGGAGTCCAACCTGGGAAGTGTATTAGGAAGACTTCATAAATCAAAAATAGCACAAGAAAGAAAAGGTTTTGATTTCATTTTACCTCTGCCAGTGGCCCCAGTAAGCTAAGGGTATTTTTCATTCTAACTCAGTTTGCTTTGCAAATCATAGGAGTTAAGCAAACTGATATAGTGATGTGGTAACTGGATTCTATCAGACCTGTTTGGTTTCAACAGGGCATTCTCCAGTCTTTCTGTTCTCATTAGCCTGCCTCTTGTCCTCAGTCTGGTTCGCAGATGTTACATTAGGAAAACAGGAATACAAACAGCCCTCCTCTCAGGCAATAAGAAAATGAATATCACAATTGTCATTCAGCACACAAAAGCAAAAGAGCATTAGGACTGGAGTGACTTAATATGCTGTCACTTCCCTCTTGCTAACAGAATCAGAGGCTCTTTTGAAAATGGAATGGAATAATCATAGATTTAGTGAGTGTCTTCCCTTATTACTAACTTCAGCATATTAATAAATTTTATTTCCCACTGAATGTGAATATGCTCTTGACAAAAGAGTAATGCTAATTTGAAAAATAAGTTTAGGAATAATAGATTATACCAACAAATGGAAAATAAAATAGTAAAGTCTCATTTTATGCTTATGTCTTTTAAATCCCCTTTTCCTAATAAAAAGTACTCTTGTTTTAACTATGTGCTATTTCCTGGAAATTTATTTTGTCAGACAAATAGTTGCTTTGAGTGGAAGCTATTAGCATGCTTTCTCATTTGTTCTGTGGTGAATTTTAAGTTTGCTGTTACTGTTTTTCTTTGTGTGTTTATTGTGTGGCAGGAAAATAAAGTTTTCCATTTGTACTTTTGAGAAGCTGTTAGCAAGTATTGCTTATTTCTGATAACCTAAACACACTTGATTTATGGAAGTATCAGAGCATCAATCTGCCCCCTTGTCACATGGGCCCATGTGTTTCCAAGCTACAGACTGATGTTCGAAGTCAGGTGACTTGGTGAAATCTGCCAATCAGAGGAAGAAGGGGGAGCACTGTTTTGGGGTCTATGTCTACTGAAAAGTCTTGAGGAATTTTCTTTCCTCAACTACAGCCCTAGAATCATGGCTATTCCACCATAGCCAGAAAGACAGCGTGGTCTTTTACCCTTCAGAGAGAAGAGCCAGATGAAAATATACCTTACAGCAAGGGACACCCTTTCTTGGTGACTTGTTTCCTTGGCCAAGACTGCCAATGAGATCACTGATGGAAGGATTCAGAGGGTAAAGAAACACATTATTTATCCTGTAATTACCAGAGATCTCTTTAGCCCATTGGGAGCCCTCCCAGCTGGCATTTTCTCATAATTCAATGTTGATTCAACAGCTTCATAATGGCCATCTACACTGTGCCTGTCCCTGTGCTAGGGACCCATGGTGCGATGCAGAACAGGGCAGGGCAGGCTCTGCTTTCATGGCAGTGATGGATAGTAGAAAGGATGGACAAAATCAATAAAAGTTGCTCTGCAGTTTAGCTTTATGGGATGAAAACAGAAGAGGAGCTGAGACAAATTACAAGAGAAATCACCTCCTTTAGATCAGGTATTGCAGGGGGACCTCTCAGAAGAGGTGCCATTGAAACTGAGGCATTAAAAAAAAGAACAGTAGTGGGTAATGCAGAGAATAGAGGAAGGAACATTCAGGACATGGGAACCCCAAGGTCATTGTATTAACCCGAGGAGAACCTGGGGAAGAACCTGGGCTGACGAGCACAGATGTTAGCCTCCATCCCACCTACCTCAGTTCCCCACCTCAGTGTGGGCAGTGACAAGACCCATCAGGCCAGGTCTGGCCATGAGACACCAGGCTGCAGCGGGAAGATAAGCAGAAGGGCTATGGCAAGCACTAGAGTTCTAAACAGACCAGAGAGCAAGTCCCAGACGCTCAAGTTATGATCAGATAAGATCTTTATAGGTGGGAGAGTGGGGAACTGCCAAAATCCAAGTGGTCAGAGAGTCAACAAAGCAGCACTCTGGAACAGGCTGGGTAAACTTGGTTGTGGGTGACCCAGGCCCATCAGTGTTTATCACCGTCCAAGGGAAGTCAGCAGCCTGCTGGGGAACCTGGGCTGCTGCACAGCGGGTGGGGTCAGAGAGGAGGGGAGTGAGTAGGGCCTGTGTGGTGGCTATCGGGGGCAAGTGCTGAGAAGACTCTCAGTGATGGCTGCAGGTGATGGCGCTACAGGAGGAATGGTGAGGGTGGGGGCAAGGACACCCTTTGCTCACACCCATGGGTCAAACCACTGAGTAGTTATGCAGTTTATTTCCCTACTCAAGACCCTTCATGAGAGAGACATACTATCGTATTCTGCATCCAGCATCATAGAGAAAACCAGCATTCTGAAGGAAAGGTGGAGAAGGCTTAGCAGCAATGCCTACTCCTGGGAAGGGATAGGCAGGCCACTCTGCCTCCAGCAAATACTGACTTCCAGAGGGAACGGCCACCCACTGGGGCAGATGCTGTGCCAGCAGGCACTCCAGCCCCAGGGTCTATAATCTCCCCACAGCCGTGAGGTAGCAGTTATGATCCCAGTTTAGAGATGGGACACCTGAGGCTCAGCGTACTTCAGTGACAGGCCCAGGGACTCATGACTAGTGAGTGGCAGAACTGGAATTCTCACCCACCTCTGTTGGCCCTCAACAGAGTTTGGGCCAAGCATGTGTTTCCCGGTATCAGGAGCTGCTGGGGTGCCTCCTGCTCTGTGGTGTAGGAGGGAAAGCAGGGTTCACCAGAACTAGACCTAACCGCTCTTTATGACTGGATGCCTGGCACCTCCACGGCTGAGGGGAAGGAAGGGAGGCCTGATGCCAATGACTCAGAGATCGCCTTTGCTTTTGCTTTCCATACAGTGCTCCAGAAACTGCAGTGGGGGCTTCAAGATACGCGAGATTCAGTGCGTGGACAGCCGGGACCACCGGAACCTGAGGCCATTTCACTGCCAGTTCCTGGCCGGCATTCCTCCCCCATTGAGCATGAGCTGTAACCCCGAGCCCTGTGGGGTGTGGCAGGTGGAGCCTTGGAGCCAGGTATGGCGCCCAGAAAGGGAGCGATGTCTTCACACAACCTGGCAAGCCATGAATCTCGGTGTTACTGCATAAATGTAGAAATCAGGGAAGACCACACCTGCATCCTGCCAATGACTGGCCTCTGTTCAGTGACCCCACCCTGTATCTGGGAAGCCAAATGGGTCTAACACTTTCAGGAGGTGAAAAAATTCCATGGAAAAGACAATGTGTTATGGTTTTAATCACAACAGTTCAGTGTTATGTTGCAATCTGGTCTCCCAATGGATATACCGGGAAATTGGTGTTCCTGCTGGGGAAATGAATACAATGGGATTATTTGAACAAGGACGAGTCTGATGAGAGCCATTTGCAGACAGAGCCTGACACGCCTCTCTGAGGCTTCTGCAGTCAGGCTGGGAGAAACAGCCCCATCTTTTCCACACAGTATAATATTAGAGTTTCATCTCTTCCATCTCTCAGATCATTGTACAAATAGTGAGTGTGTGTGTGTGTGCTCTCTTTATGAGGGCCCTGGCTCTGCTGGGTCTTAGTTTTACTTTGACACATGGAAACAAGGTTACTTTGGTGAGGTTCTTTGGTGAAGTGTGATGATCTCATTTTTCAACAGACAAATGTTTAAATATCTCAACAGCTAAAACATACTCCCAACTACATCCACAAATGATAGAAAGAAGACCAAAAAATAACAATAAAAAAAAGGAAGCCCCCATATTTTGAGTGCGTCCAGGAGCTAGGCAGTTTGCCTGCGATACTTGGTTTAATTCTCTCCATGACCTCGATGGTAGGCATTTTTAATCCTATTTTATAGGGGAAGAAATTGAGACTTAGGTTGAGAAACCTACCTGAGACACACAATGAGAAAATAAATGGAGTTTTAATTCAAACATAAGGCATTCGCAACAAGAAATATTTGATTGCTCATCTTTGATTGCCCATCTTTGATCCTGCTGTGCTATGGAACTTAGCCCAATGGGCATTGAACAAAAAGTGAACTAAGGAGAAAGAATGAATCAATAACTACTTTGCGGTACACTTACCATGTGCCAGTGAAGAGAAGGCAAAGAATCCCAACCTGAGGCTACAGAGTTAGTGTCAAAGCCTGTGGAGGACTGAGCCCCGACTTACTTACCACCCACCGGCCAAGCATCCACACTGATTCCTGAGGCTCTGGGCCACTACCTAGAGTTTTCTGGGGCAGCAGCCACCACTGTCCCCTCTTCATCCTCCTTCCCCTGCCTACTTCTGGAGTACGTGAAGTGCCTGCTACTCCCAGGCTCTGAACCCAGACCTCCAAACTCTCCATAGGTACTGAGCCTGGCCTGGACCTGTTCAAGCAGCAGCTTCCAGAATCCAGGAATTCAGAGACGAGCTTAGGTTGCCCTGTCAGAGAAATGGCATTTGCAGGCGATCAAAGATGAGCAATCAAATCTTTCTGGTTATGAAAAAGATCTATCCTTTTGTTTCCTCAGTAGCTTCCAGGATCCCCATCAGGAGCCTGTTCCCTGAAGCCCTTCTCTCACCCTTCTTTCTAAATTGCCTGTTTTGAGCAAACCACAAAGGTGGTAGAGTTCCCTCTTAAGCAGCAGTAGAGATAGAAAATGTAAAAGTCAGTTGAGTACCCGGAGCTGCTGTTAAGGAATTGGGCATCTTTAGGTACTTTCCCTGCCTGTGGTGCTGACTGCCATCCTGGGAATGTTATGAACCCATCTGGCAAGCATATCGGCCCGCCCCGACTACCCTCCATGGCAGATGCATTTTAGCTATGGGACCATCTCTACACCAGTGGTAGTCAAGCTTTATCATGCTTCAGGACAACCTGGAGGGCTTGTCAATGCACAGATGGATGGGTCCTACCCCCAGAATGGCCAATTCAGGGGATCTGAGGTGGGGCCTGAAATTTTGCATTTCTAACAAACACTCAGAAGATGCTGAAGTTGCTGGTCTGAGGAACATTTGAGAACCACTTTTTTGACCCCCTTTTCCTGGAAATTACTTGGCCAGGTGGTGCTGAATCTATGTGCACATAGGTAGGTATGCACAGGAACCCCAGATGTGGAATTCCTCTCCCTGTCTCCTCAGATGGGGTTAAAAACAGATTGAATAAGTGGGAAAAAGTTGATGTTGATTCTCAAAGCTGGAATATTGTGAAGGTGCTACATTAGTTCTTTTATTGAGCAGAAAAGATTAATTGCGGCCGGGCGCAGTGGCTCAAGCCTGTAATCCCAGCACTTTGGGAGGCCGAGGCGGGTGGATCACGAGGTCAGGAGATCCAGACTATCCTGGCTAACATGGTGAAACCCCGTCTCTACTAAAAATACAAAAAACTAGCTGGGCGTGGTGGCGGGCGCCTGTAGTCTCAGCTACTTGGGAGGCTGAGGCGGGAGAATGGCGTGAACCCGGGAGGCGGAGCTTGCAGTGAGCCGAGATCATGCCACTGCACTCCAGCCTGGGAGACACAGCGAGACTCCGTCTCAAAAAAAAAAGATTAATTGCATATAATTTCCCTATTTTCTATGATACTACCACACACACACTACCTGATGTGATGGACATGATGTTTGCAAGACAGCCATAATTATCTTGTTGTTATTGTTGTAACCATGCTAAAACTAAGATTTTTCAAAGTGCTTTTCAAAATACTCAAAGAACTTTTCAAATATTCTTGGCGAATTATTTTATTTCCTCCTAAAAAAACTCATGCACATGAGATAATGTATCTTACAGAATTATTCTAGTAAGCAAAAACCTGACATGTTTCAGAATTCTACCCTTTTAGAAATCTGACTTGTCATCTTGAATTTATTTTATGAGTATTACAGCCAATGCATCTAAGTCCTGAGTGAATCCATCCATTTTATTACTCCTACTATGGACAAATTTAATTCTAAAACTTTATGCAGTGGAAAAGGAAGACTAAATCTCATTTTAATAGGAGGCAAACAAAATTGTATTGCAAATGTGTGCCCCCCTTTTGGGCTGTCAGAGATAATCATTATAAAAAACCTAAATTTTACATTTTTGTTTCTAAAAAACTTTTTTCAGAAGACAAAATGCAGATAAAATAATATCCATTCTGGAATGACCACTCATTTAGGTTTTTTTTTAAAAAAATCCTTCCTTTTGACATATCGTTTAACATTAGACTATTTGGCATCTTCTGACTTTTCTCCTCCTTATGTCTTCAGGATTTGCTTCATCAATATTTCTGCCTCTCTTTAATTCTTGTTTCCGCATTTAAAAGAAAAATAGTGAGTAGTCATTGTAAGGAACTTGCAGGAATGCTATAAATTCCAATACAGATACCAATATTCCTAATAACACTGTACACAACAAAATGACAATACGAAGTTCTTCACTTATCATTAAACATGTCTCCACCTGACTTTTACCTAATCTTGTCACTGCTGTGTATCAGTGCTCCAGGTCCTGTGGAGGCGGAGTTCAGGAGAGAGAAGTGTTCTGTCCAGGAGGCCTCTGTGACTGGACAAAAAGACCCACATCCACCATGTCTTGCAATGAGCACCTCTGCTGTCACTGGGCCACTGGGAACTGGGACCTGGTAAGACTCGTTTATACATACTTTTTTTT